CCTGTGACCCCTGAGTTTAGGTTTACACGCTGATTTGTAGTCTCCTGTGGGCTGCTTCTGAATTTCTCTCCCCTTCTGTAAAATGTGCATGAAAAACTTGTCTCAAAGCATTTGTGCGAGTTAGAAGATGCCCTAAAGTAAAGCTCTCCCTAACACCACAGGAGTTCCTTAGGATCAGGAATGCCCCTCGGCATTGCCGTGTCAGTGCAGCTGGAACACCAGTGTAGAGGAGAGGCGTCTTGGGGTGGGGTCCTCTTTCCCCCGGTCCCCTTCACCTGTCCCCCACCCCCGCCCCCAGGGTCCGCAAGCAGGTGGTGAACATCCCGTCCTTCATCGTCCGCCTGGACTCCCAGAAGCACATCGACTTCTCTCTGCGCTCTCCATATGGGGGTGGCCGCCCAGGCCGTGTGAAGAGGAAGAATGCCAAGAAGGGTCAGGGTGGGGCTGGAGCTGGCGATGATGAGGAGGAGGATTAAGCTGACCCATCCCCTCCTGGGCTGGTGGAGTGTTTGGTTTTCCCGGCAGATAATAAAACAAGGTCAACACTTTGGACCTGGTGTTTATTGGCGTCTGTCCCTTTCTGTTGGAACACAGCCCTCTGGTGGGAAGCAGTTCAGGCTGGGTCCTTGACCAGGTTACCTGGAGCCTGGTCACCCCTTCCAGGCGCCGCCTCCTGCATACCAGGGCCTAGCTAGCCTGTGTGCTCAGGCACTTGTGACTGCCTACTACATGGTGCTCCTTGTCCCTTTGGGGGAGGGCTACAGTAGTGAATAAAAAAGCGTCTTTACGTGCCACTTCATAATCACAGCCAGGAGAAGTTTAGGGGAAAAATCTGAGTCAAACCAGAAGGAAATTCTCGAAGCTGGCTATTGGCACATGGGGGTGGGGAGGAGTCATTTTCAGACAGAGGAAGCAAGTGGAGGTAGGGTCAGCCTGGATTTCCAGCCCTTTAACCCTACCCATGGTAAGAGAAGTTGGTAGGGTGGTGGCCGGGGGCTGAGAGCTGATTCCATCAAGGAAAGCCCACCACAGAGGAGTTGGTGGTGATGAACTACTTGAATTGCATTTTTGGTCCGGAGCACTTGACAAAACCTGCAAGCTGATTTCAAAGCTTGTTACGGTGTGGTTGATGGGCAAGTTCCTGGTGTTATGTCTTAAGATATGGGTGCAGTGAAGTGGGAAATGTAAGTCCTGATTAGTGGCCGGTGGGAAGGGCCGCCTAAGCCTCCCTGCACCTGCTCCCCTCCCCCTGCATTTGGAGTTTCTGCAGACATGGTCAGGAGGGAGCAGCTTCCCTTTTCTCTACCTTGTTGAGAAGTGTCAGGAAGGGGCTTGGTCTCAGGAAATGTGCACCACTTGAAATTGAGCAACCCCTTAGCAATTGCAGCCACCCTGCATGGTATGGTTGGTCCCTGTATGGGGACTTTTGGGCTCAGGTTAGTTAGGTGTCCAGCTTCAGAGGCACTCAGGATCCCTTGACATTGCCAAATTGCTGTGAAGCCTGCATTAGAATCCAAGTCCTTGCAGCTGGTGGGCTGGGCAGTAGGCTCTCCCGCCTCCTGTCACCCCGAGGTTGCCTCTTGTGTGACTATGGCCTTGAGCAGTTCCATGGGATCCCTGCAGTCCGTGGGGTCCCTTAGTAGGGGCTGTAAGATCAGCTTTGTAATGGTGGAGTCCCTGGCAGCAAGGTGTCAAGCTCCTCATGGTCCATACCAAGTCTCCAGGCTGGCAGGAGTTCATTGGCTGGGTGTCCATGGGGGCAGCTCCGGTGCCTTCTGGGATCTCTGCAGGCCCCCTCTTGGGAGTGAGGGGTCTGGGTCTTGTCCTGGGCTAGTGGATGGCCAGAGCAGCATACGTGGTGAGCTCTTCAGGGGGCTCCCTTGACAGGGAGGAAGGGGGTGCAGTTGTCGCCCGTCTGAGGGTCAAGTGGTTCAGCTGGGCATAGGTTACATCTTGAGTGTCTTCAGATGTCACAGTCTGGAGTTGGGTGAGAGGGATGGCACATGGTTGGGGTGGGGGGAGCTGGGAAGAAAAGATGCACTCCCTGGAGGTCTTCATCGTCAGGCCTCTGCTAGAGATGGGGGTGGGCCTCTTTGATTCTACCCTTGCCCTCCTTCAGTCTATCTTTGGGGGTCTGGGAGAGGAGGGATGTGAAGTTGGAATGCCTGTGGTGGCGGTTGGAGGTGTGCGTGTGGTGCTGGGGAGAGGTCCTGACTGGAGGTAGGAATTGGCCATGGAGCCATCAACATGGAGGGACAGTCAGACCTCAAGCATCACTACAAGGGAGTTAGATCTATTCACTGGGGTGAGCTGAGTGAGCCTGCTGTGGTGTTCGGAGCTGACCTCACCTATGTGATGTTGGGTTTGACACAACTGTGGGACAGACAGGAAAGAATGAACAGACAGCCGAGGGCTGAGCTGGGCTATAGGACCCTTGATGCAAATTTAAAAGGCCCAGGGCTTGGATTTCAGCCCCTTTGTGCAGGGCACAGACTGTTCAGCCCTAACCCTCGTCCTGCCAGCTCCACCTGAGCTCAAAGGTCAGAGGAGGCCTGCACAGGTGGCCAAGGAGAGCATGGGGTTGCAGCAGCCCAGAGTGGCGTGCTTCCAGAAGGGAGGCTGCCAAGAGTTGAGTGGTATGAGGGAGAAGTCTCCACTGGGTTTAAGGTGTGAACAAGGAGATGTGTAGGTGCCTTGGTTACGACTAGAGGAAGCTCACCTGACTGTCCAGCTGTCTGTCCTCCTCCGGCTGTGTGTCTTGTATGACAGCATCTGGTGGGGACAGAATAAGGAGGTCCCGTCTCTTGCCAAGAGTCCCTGAGATCTCACATGGTATAGGCCCAGAGATGGTCCGTGACTTGACTAAGGCCGCGTAGGATCAGGTTCCTGCTCTCTCACCCCAAGCCCAGAACCATCTCCAGCCAATCCCCAGTCTCCACTGCCCACCCATGTTCTCTGGGCCCGTCCCCTCCCAGAGGACATCCCCTTACACAAGTTCTCCTCCTGGACGTCAGCAGCTGGGCGGGAGCTGGGGGAGGAGACAGGAGTGTTAGGGGGCAGTGGGGGAGCCCCGGGTGGGGGTGGGAGTCTGGGGGTCTCTGGGTGACATCTTACCTCTTCTGCAGGCCTCTGTCCACAGGCAGTGTCGCTGCAGCCACTGCAGGAAGTTGGAAATCAGCCTCCAACCCACCCTAGAACCCTCCCCTAGGGCTGCATTAAGATCTGCAGAGGATCTAAGAACTGAACAGATTTTTTTTTTTTGTTTGAGGAAGATCAGCCCTGAGCTAACACCCATGCCAATCCTCCTCTTGCTGAGCAAGCCTGGCCCTGAGCTAACATCTATTGCCAATCCTCCTCCTTTTTTTTTCCCTTTTTCTCCCCAAAGCCCCAGTAGATAGTTGTATGTCATAGTTGCACATCCTTCTAGTTGCTGTGTGGGACACGGCCTCAGCATGGCTGGAGAAGTGGTGTGTGGGTGCGCGCTCAGGATCCGAACCCGGGCCGCCAGCAGCGGAGCGTGCACACTTAACCGCTAAGCCACGGGGCCGGCCCAGGAGAAGTATTTTTAAACTGACCTTCCCATCTGTTCGGTTTCCCTTGGGGTGGTGCCCTAAGCCCACCTCCTCCTGTGACGGGGGTCACCGTTTCTTACTCACCCGACCTGTGTTTGCCCTGACGCCGGTGTCGGAAGAGGAGGAGGAGGAGGAGGAGGAGGGAGAGCAGCAGGACGAAGGCCACCGAGACCCCGATCAGAGCTTTCAGGTACCACTTGAGACCTTGGGCACGAGTGATGACATGCATGAGCCAATGATGGCATTTAATTGAGCACCTACTGTGTGCCACACATGTGGTGGGGTCTGTGCATTCATCTCTAACCCTCATAACAGTCATGCAGCATCTGTAAACCATCTACTTTACAGATGAGGAAACAGGCACAGGGAGGTAAATCATGTGTCACTCAGCCTGAAGTTGCAGCGCTGGGACTGGAACCCAGGGCTGTGGGTTCCCTTGGGTTTTTTTTTTTAGTTTTTTTTTTTTTTATGCTATGCCCTTACCCTCCAGGGAGAACACCAGTGCAGAGACCTGTCCACCAAACCCAATCTCCCCCTGTTACCCCTCTCCCAGCTCAGGTCTGTCTCCCACTCTGCAGAGGGCTGGCACCCCCATGTGGGGCCTTTGTGCACGTGGACTGTGTTATCTGGGAAGGGCAGGAGGGAGGGCTCTGTCCTTCCTGAGCTCTAACAGGGCCAGGCCAAAGGCTGAGGGCTTTCACCCTGAGGGAGGTGGCGGGAGGCTTGTTGTGCAGAGAGGAACCTAGGACTCAGAGAGGAGCATGATGTGTCCAAGATCCACAGATGGGAAGTAGCAGAGTTGGGGTTTGAACTCGGGGGTGTTCCTTCCCTAACCCGATGGCTGCTCCTGGGAGGGCTGAGTGCTCCTGAGCTTATGGAGGAGAGCTCAGACTGTGTCCCCACACAGTGTCCAAGCAGCCTTCTCGGACTGTGCAATCGGAGAAATTGGTCCCCGTGAGAAGGTGAACTTTTCTCAGGTCACCATCTCAGGAAGGGGCTGAGCCAAGACCAGACCTGAGCTCCTCCCACCCACCACCTCCCCACAGAGACCCTCACTTACCCCACTGTGGGCCTGACTCCGTGGAGGAGAGTCCATCCTCAGTGCCTCCTGGGGATCAGGATAGGAGATGTGGGGGCTGGTTCTCCCCACTTCAGCCCAAACGCCAATCCCCCAGGCTGACCCGCAAGATCTCCCTCTGCCACGACTGCCTCACCTGCCGTCTGTCCAGCCTCAGAGTTCTTGGAGCTCTGTGGCCCCCAGCATCTCTGCCTGACTCCTCAGCCCCCCAGGGGACAAGCCATGCCAAAGCAAGTCATCATGGTCCCTCTGGGTATTGAGCCTCTGGTAGTCACCAACTTTTTTATCTCTGGGTGAGGGGCTATTAGGCCTGGAGCAAGGAGGAGGATCAGGACGGGGTGCCCCTGGTCTTTTCTCCTTTTGGTCGGCCCTCAGTCTTCTCTAGCCTCCTCCACTTACCACAAATGTATCTGGACCTCAGGGATGAGGATGAGGATGAGGCTGGGATGGGAGTTGCTCTGGCTTTTTCCATCCCTCTGAGAGGTGAGATACCCCTCTGGCTGACTCACCTTCTGTGACCCTCTTATTCCCATCCCAGCCCAGAGCTCCCCTGGGGACGAGACCCTGAACTGACCATGAGGACACAAGGGGCATGACTGGAGCTCCTCACCTGAGACCCGGAGTTCCAGGGGGTCACTGGGGAGTGACAACAGGTAGGGGGAGGTGCTTTTTGAACCGTAGCACCTGTAGGTTCCCTCGTGGTCTGAGGTCACAGGACTGATGGTGAAGTTGGCCTGAAAGGGTGCAGCCATGTCCTGCAGACGAAGGTGCTGGGGAGGAGCAAGTGCCCCCTCCTTGCACAGATGGAAGGTATCCAACCAGATCTCAGAGCGACACTGCAGGGTCACATTCTCTCCCCAGGACACTGAGGGCCCCAGCTGGGCTGAGAGGGAGGGTTTCTTGTAAATTCCTGGGCGGGGAGGAAGGTTGTGTTGTGTAGAGAGCTGCCCTCTCCCCACACGCCCTTGACTGAGCTGAGGGACTATTGTCCTTTCTCCAGGGACTCTGTCTGTGATCCCCTCTGAGCTCCTCTCAGTCCCTCTGGGTGGGTGTCTTTTATCTCCTTGCCACTCACTCCCCCTTTCTCACTCCTTCTGCCTAGACCACTGCCCCATCTCAGCCTCTGCTCCAGGACACTCTCACTGGACCCCATCACTACCTGGGGTGACCCTCGGCCGAGTGCCCTGAGCAGACAGTCAGGACATGGGGCTCCTCACCCGCGATCAGGATGTCCAGGGGGGCACTGGGGGCCGACCATGCATAGGAGAGGTTGTGTCCACCGTAGCACCTGTACTGGCCCCCGTGGGTGCGGTCCACATGGCCCAGGGGGAAGTCAGGGCTGTGCTGCCCATGAAGACGCTGTGGGGGTGTGAGCCCCTCGTCCTTGCTCAGAGCAAATCTGTCAAAGCCGGCCTCTGAGTGACACTGGAGGGTCAGGTTGTCTCCAGAGAGCACCAGCGAGCCCGGTTGGGCTGTGAGAGAGGGCTCCCTGTACACGCCTGGAGAGAAGGGACAGTGGCCTTGAAGGGGATGCACACCCCACATTGCCCACTGGGCCTGCAGTGCGAGTTCTCACTGATCCCTCCCCAAATCTCCTGCTCTGTGGTTCAGGCCCCAGGAGGCCATGTCCCCACCCCATCACCCACAGAACTCCGCTGGTCACAAGGCTTACGTCAGTCATTTTGGGGTACCAGGAAAGGGATGGGTCAGCGGCAGCCCTCACCTGTGACCTCGAGATGCAGAGGGTCGCTGGGGAATGACCACACATAGGGGTAGGAGCTGGGAGAACCATAGCATCTGTAGGTCCCCCCATGGGAGGTGTTCATGGGGCCCACAGGGAAGACAGCCTGCCACCTCCTACGAAAGCTCCTCGATTCCATGTGTCTGGGTGGGTCAGCTCCTCCTTTCAGCAGATGGAAAGTGCCGAATGTGAACTGTGAGCTACAGGAGAGGGACACGTTCCCTCCTGATGCCACCACAGGGCCTGGGTGGGCTGAGAGAGATGGTGCACTGTACACTCCTGAGGGAGAAGGAGGGAGCTATGTTAAAGGGGGACCATCAGCCCACATACCCCAGGTGTGGATTGTGAGGACTAGGGTTCCCTGAGCCCATACCCCATTCCCTTCTGCCTGTGAGGAGGAGCCCACAGTGGGAGGGGACAAGCTCCTCCCCCTTACCTGTCACCACCAGGGGCAGGGGGTCACTGTGCTCTGACCAGCCATTCCAGCTGGTATGATACGCACACTGATACAACCCTGCAGTGTGTGCGCTCATAGCTTCAATGAAGAAACCAGCCTTGTTGCTGTAGTCCCATGGGGCCGCTGTGTCCTGGTATGTAGAGGTCCTCTTTTCATACAGACGGTAGAAATCAGCCTGCAGAGACCCCTGACACCAGATGGTCACAGGGCTCTCCTTGGTGACGATGGGGCCTGGGTTAGCCCAGATGGAGGGTTTGGGGAGGACTCCTGGAAAGCAATCAGACCTGAAGTGTCAGTGGAGTCCTTCTCCCCTCAGCTTCCCCAGCTGTCACTCAGGCCCCTCCCAGACTGGTTGCCTCAGCCCAGACCCTCTGACCTCCCCACAGCTGCACAGGGGCTTCATTGGTCTGAAGCAGGAGGTGTAGGGGAGAACTTACCCGCCTGTACCCTGTTCCACGGGTCCCAACTCAGCCCTGGAAGAGAGTTCCCTGTGAGAGTGTGTCCCCCAACCCACACATAGAAGATCCAGGCCTGGTCTGGGCCCCTGAGCACTGGGGTCAGATCTGGGGCTGAGTACACTCTCCTTCCCCCAGAAGTTCTGCCCCCACTGAGCTCCTGAGTCCTGGGGTCTCAGGGACTAGGACCTGAGAGGGGAGGAGACACTATCCCTCTTTCTTTGCCCAAAACTCACCAAGGCAGAGGAGGGCAGTGAGAGTAGGTGTCTTGGTGCCGCTTCCCATGGTCCCCAGCTGTGCAGACAACTTATAAAGACCACAGAGCCCAGCAGGACATACAGACAGAGCGGGTGTGCTAAGATCCAGGCTCCACGTGACTCAGAATGAGTTCCTCATCTGTGGTCTCACAGGAAGGGGAACAGCCGCTGCCAAGGCCTCACTCTGCTCTGCCTGAAGGATGATTCTGAAGAGACAGCAGGTCTGGGGAGCTTCCAGACCAGATCTGAGACTCACCAGACCCCACACGCTCTGCGTCCAACTCATGCCAAACCCAAATCCATAGAGTGACAGTTGTCTTGGAACATGAGGCTTGGAGAGGGCGGGGGAGGATCAGCCCAATTTCTGTTCCAGCTTGGACTCTGCCTCTTATAGAGGATTTGTGACCTGGGGCAACTCACTTCCTTTTGCTGAGCTTCTGTAAATGCCAGTGTAATTCCTTTCTTTCATCAGCCAGGCAGTCAGTCAGCATTTACTGAGCAGTTCCCATGTCCAGTCGTGGTGCCGGGAGCTGCAGAGTCATTGCTGAAGCTGACAGAGTCTTTCCCTGGACTCATGGGGCTCAGATGAATGAAGACAGACATCACAAATACTTAGGTGGCCAACAATTCAGTTACAGTCTTGTTTTAATGCAAGTTGGCAGAAGAAAGAAAAGAGGGGACCATGAGATTCAGTAACAGGTAGATGTCTGGCAACCTAGGTCCTGGCTGTGAGGGATCTTTTGGGGGAGGAGTGACCCCAGGCATGAGCAAGGTTAGCGCAGAGGTGGCGGTGGGCCATCCTTGCCCAGAAAGATCTGAGCTGTTCTCAGAATTGAGAGCAATCAGAATCCTGGGCCTTGTCACACAGGATCTTGAGCACCATGCAAGGTGTAAGGTATTTTGAATTTTCCCTTTAAGGCAATGGGAAGATTGTAAGTAACAGACAGTATGCACATATTTCTGTTTTAAAACAACTACCACCAAGTAGAAAATGTAATGCAGGAAGGGTCTATTGATAATTTTTTTTTTTTTTTTTTTGGTGGGGAGGTCAGCCCTATGCTAATATCTGCCAATCCTCCTCATTTTTTTGCTGAGGAAGACTGGCCCTGGGCTAACATCCGTGCCCATCTTTCTCCACTTTATATGGGACACCGCCACAGCATGGCCTGACAAGCAGTGCGTCAGCGTGCGCCCGGGATCTGAACCGGCGGACCCCGGGCCACCGCAGCAGAGCGCGCGCACTTAACTGCTTGCGCCGCCAGGCCAGCCCCACTATTGATAATTAACTCTATTAATAATAAAACTCCAACATTATTTTTTATTGTGGTAGCATTGGTTTATAACATTATATAAATTTCAGGCATACATCATTATACTTCTATTTCTGCGTAGATTACATCATGTTCACCACCCAAAGACTAATTACAATCCATCACCACACGCATGTGCCTAATCACCTCTTTCACCCTGCTCCCTCCCCTCTTCCCCTCTGGTAACCACTAATCCAATCTCTGTCTCTATGTGTTTGATAAAACTCCAACATTCATCTCTCTCCTGGATGGTATGTTGATCAGTATTTTAAGTCTTTTCTGTGGTTTTCTCGTATAACCCTTACACAAACCTATAACACAAAATACATTTACAGTTGAGTGGAATGAGACAGGATGGCTTTTTGGTCCCTCAGGTTGGAAAGGAGTTGGCTAGGTTCAGACTGGCTGAGGGGGGAGCCCGAGGAAGGCACAGAATAGTTAAGTGGCTCAGCTTGTGTGTGTGTTTGGCGGGGAGTGTGTGGTTAACTGTGATGAGTTTGGTTGAGGCGGAGAGTTGTGTTTCCTGGGGCTGTGAGTTTAGCTCAGGCCTGATCATGGGCAGCCTTGAACATCAGTTGGTGCACCTTGTATCTTTTTTGAAGATGGAAACTGTTGGAAGCATTTTGGGCAGGGCAGGATCAGACCAGACAGGGTTATTAGGAGGGTCCTTTGGAGGCAGTGAGATGAAGGAACTGGAGGAAGGAGTGGGGGCCTGGATTGGAGGACCAGGAAGGAGGCTGATGTGATGACACAGGGGAGATAGGCCTGAGTCTTCTGATGGATCAGGGTATTGTTAATAAGGACGCAGGGGGCATGGTGGTGTGGATTTGATGATTGGATGTGAAGGGCAAGAGAGTGAGGAACTGAAGGCTGTTCCACTCTCTGCCCTGGTGCCTGGAGGAGCCAGTGGGGCCATCACAGGGAGGAGGGCCCTGGGGAGGAGGAGGCTGGGGAGATGCTTAGGAGACTGATCATCATTTCTCAGAAGAAAGCACAGCCCTCCCTTCTCATCTGGGATTGTGGATTTTCTTCCCCACAGACACTTCCCTTCACTGACTTCTTTGTTTCTGTAAGTAGCACCATCTTTTTCTTCATCGTCCTCCTTCAAAACCTCTGAGTCATTTCTGCCTCCTCAGTGCCCCTTCCTCCCCTGGACAGAAGTCTTCATCTCATACTGTGAATTCTTTCTCCAGGCACTGGGTGAGAGCACAGGTTGGAGGGAAAAAAGATTTTAAAAATTGAATACAGACTCAGAAATCTGTAAGACAGTTTATATCATTGATCTCCTAGCAAAAAGAGATTGATATTATGAAAAAAAAATATTTGAAGAAATAAATAGCTGACCATTTCATAGATTTATTGAAAGTCATAAATTTACACATCCAAGATGCTCAGCAAATGAAGATAAGCTTTATTATTATTATTATTATTATTATTTTTTTTTTAGATTTTATTTATTCATTTTTTCCCCCCAAAGCCCCAGTAGATAGTTGTATGTCATAGGTTCACATCCTTCTAGTTGCTGTACGTGGGACTCGGCCTCGGGTTGGACGGAGAAGTGGTGCCTCGGGGCGCGCCCGGGATCCGAACCCGGGCCGCCAGCATCAGAGCGCGCGCACTTAACCGCTAAGCCACGTAGCCGGCCCTATTATTATTTTTTATAATGTTATATATTTATTTATTTTCCCCCCAAAGCCCCAGTAGATAGTTGTATGTCACAGCTGCACATCCTTCTAGTTGCTGTATGTGGGACATGGCCTCAGCATGGCCGGAGAAGCGGTGCGTCGGTGCGTGCCCGGGACCCAAACCTGGGCTGCCAGCAGCGGAGTGCGCGCACTTAACTGCTAAGCCACGGGGCCGGCCCAAGATAAGCTTTAAAAACCATGCCCAGGGCCTGGCCCAGTGGCAAAGTGGTTAACTTCGTGCACTCCGCTTCGACAGCCTGGGGTTCACAGCTTCAGATCCCCAGTGCAGACCCACGCACAGCTTATCAAGCCATGCTGTGGCAAGCGTCCTACATACAAAGTAGAGGAGGATGGGCACGGATGTTATCCCAGGGCCAATCTTCCTCAGCAAAAAGAGGAGGATTGGTAACAGATGTTAGCTCAGGGCTAATCTTCCTCAGGAAAAGAAAAAAAAACCAAGAAAACAAGAAGACCGGCCCCACACACTTCATAATCGTAATCAAAGTAGTGAAAACAAAAACAAAAACAAACAAAAAAAGTTGAAAGCCTCCAGGAAAAATGCCATGAAACAAAGAGGAAAAATGATTTGAATGCTTACGGATTTCACATCAGAAACCGTCAATATCAGAAGATATTAAAGTTCTGAGAGACAAGGAGAGCCAAGTGGAATTCTTCTGGATATATTCTTGAGGAATGAAAGCAAAATAAAGTCATTCTGAGAGGAAGGAACACTGAGAGAATTTGTCGTCAGCACACCTTCTCTAAAAGAAATAAGGTAAGTTCTTCAGGCAGAAAGGTAATAATTCTAGAGGGAAACTTGGAAATTCCAGAATAAAGGAAGAGCAAAAAATGGTAAACATCTAGGTAAATGTAGTAGCATATATTTCTCCTCTTAAGTTCTTTAAAATGTGTATCATTGTTGAAAGGAAAACTGATAGCATTGTATGGTGGAGTTTTAATGTCTGTAGATGTGACACACATAACAGCTACAGCATAAAGGGATGGGGGTGAAAGGATCTATATGGTGGTGAGGCTTCCACATTTCTCCTGAAGAGGTAAAACGTGAACTCTATGTGGACTCTGTGAAATTAGGTGTGTATATTATAATACCTACAGTAACAGCCACTTAAGGAACAACATGCAACGAGTTACAGCTAGAACACCAATAGATAAATTAAAATGAAATACTAAAAAGTATTCCAAAAAGCTAAAGGAAGGCAGGAAAGGGACAACTGAAAAACAAAAAAATAGAGGGAACAAGCAGAAAACCAACAATAAATGGTAAACTTGAAAAGAACCTTCAATAATTACATTTAATATACATGGTGAAAGCACAATTAAATGGCAGAGATCATAGCACTGGATTAGCAACAACAAGTAAGACCCCACTGCATGCAGTCTACCAGAGGTTCACTTTAATACAATGATGTAAATAGGTTAAAAGTAAGAGAATGAATATATTATGCAAACATTAATTAAAAGAGCTTAAGTTGCTGCCTAAGTTTCCTGCTGCTGTAACAAATTACAACAAACTTAGTGGATTTAAACAATACAAATTTTCATCTTACTGTACTGGAGGTCAGAAGTACAAAATCAGTGTCACTGGGCTAAAGTCGAGGTGTCACAGAGGTGGTTGCTTTTGGTGGGTCTGCAGCGAGAATCAGTTTCCTGGCCTTTCCCAGCTCCCAGAGACGCCTGCAGCGCTGGGCTCCTGCCCCTTCCTTCCATCACTGCAGCCTCTTGATTCCATCATCACGTTTCCTACCACTGACTCTGACCCTTTTGTCTCCCTCTTACAAGAAGCCTTGTGATTACATTGGGCTCACACAGATAATCCAGGAAAATGTCCCTATCTCAAGATACTTAATTTAGTCTCATCTGCAAAGTCCATTTTGCCATGTAAAGTAACATACTCACAGGTGTCAGAGATTAGGGTGTGGAAATCTTTGGGAATGGGAAGGAAGCAGCATTATTCTATTTATTACAGTGGCTACCATATAAAACACTACAATAGAAGATATCAGGTAAGGTAGGCTTTTGAACAGGTAAATTATCAGGGATAAAGAAAGATATTACATAAAGATAAAATGTTCAACTCACCAGGAAGACAGAGTAATCCTAAATGTGTATACTCAAAACAGCAGAGCTTCAAAGTACGTAAAGCAAAACCTGTCAGAAATGAAAGGACAAATAAGTACACGAACAATTATAGTCAGGGACTTTACACTCCTCTCTTGGTAATTGTTTGAGCAACTGGATGGCAAATCAGCAAGGATACAGAAAACCTGAACGACACTATCAACAACTTGACCTGATTGACACACAGGGAGCACTTCACCAACAGCAAAGTAGACATTCTTTTCAAGTGCACATGGTATGTTGGCCACAATAGTCCACCTCCTTGGTTTTAAAACAAAGCTAACACATTTAAAAGAATTAATATCATACATCACTTCTTTTCTAATGGAATTTAAGTAAACATCTATTACTAGAAAGATATCTGGAAAATCTTCAACTATTTGGAAATTAAACAACACACTTCTAAATAATTTATGGGGGGAAGAGGAACTCAAGGAGAATCGGAAAATAGTTTGAACTGGACGAAAATGAAAATACAGCATAATAAACATTGTGGGGCACAGCCAAAGCAGAGTTTAGGAGGAAGGGAAGGGCTGCAAGTGCTCATGCTGAACAAAGAATGGTTCCTAATCACTAACCTAAGCTTCCATCTAAGACACAAGGAAAAGAAGGGCAAACTCAGCCCAGCGTAAGCATAGTACAATAATAACAGAGGGCAGAAATCAATTAAACTGGAAACAGAAACACAGGAGCAAAGATCAGTGAAACCCAAGGCTGGTTCTTTAACACGACCAGTAAAATTGGCAAACCACCAGGCAGACTAATTACGGAAAAAAGAGACAAGACCCAAATTGACAACATCTGGCGTGAATGACAGGCTATCACTACAAATAGGATTATTTTTAATTGATTAATAATAGGATAATAAGAGAACACTACTACGAACAACACTGTGGTGATAAATTTGACAACTTGAATGGACCAACTCTTGAACGACACGCACTATCAAAACTCACTCAAGTAGAAATCATCTGATTTTCTTGAAAAACATTAAACTGAATTTGTAGTTAAAAAAACTTTCCAACAAAGAAAACTCCTGGCCACAGTGGTCTCACTGGCAGGTACCACCAAACATTTGGAGAAGAATTCATACAATCCTTCACAGTCTCTTCCAGAAAACAGAAGAGAAAGGAACACTTTGCAACAATTTTATGAGGCAGGTATTCCTCCAAACTCAAACCAGACAAAGAGAGTACAAGGAAAGAAAGGTGCAGGCCAATGTCCCTCAAGAACATAGATGCCAAAATCCTCACCAAAATATTGGTAAATATAAGCCAGCAATGAGGAAAAGGACAATCATCAGAACCAAGTGGGATTCATCCTCAGATCCCAGGCTAGTTCCGCATTTGAAAGTCAATAAAGGTAATCCACCATCTTAAGAGACTAACAAAGGAAAACCGCATCATTACATACAGACATGCGCACAAAGATTTGATAAAATAAATGCTCAGCTATACAAAAATAGAAGGGAATTTCCTTAATCAGATAAAGGGCATCTGTGATCTATGTTGAGGTAACATTGTATTGAATGTTTTTCCCCTGTGACTGGGGACAAGGGAATGATGCTCTCACTGCTTCTATTCAGAACTGGCTGGTGCAATAAGACAAGTTTCAAGGAATAAAAAGCATACAGACTGAAATGCAAGGAATAAAATTGTCTTTATTCCCAATCCACATAATCATATATGGAGGAAATCCTAAGGAATCTACAAAGAGCTCCTACAACTGATAGGTGAAGGAGGAAGGTCTCAAGATCAATATTAAGTACATTAATACAAATATTAAATACAAGATAAATATTAAAAAATCATTTGAATTTTATTCCATTCCATAAATTAACAAGGAACAATTGGAAAGCAAAATTAAAATACGATACTATTTGCTATAGTTCCAAAAACCATACCATGTGGAAATAAATATAAGTATAGATGTGTGAGATCTGTAGACTAAAAACTATAATACTTAGCTAAGAGAAATTAAAGAGGAACTACAAAAAAAAGGTAATGTCCCTTTTTCATTGATTGAAAGACTCAATATTGTTAAAGTATCAGCTCTCTCTAAACTGACATGTATTCAAAGCCACTCGAATGAAAATCTCAACTAGCTTTTTTAGGCAATTGACGGGCTGATATTAAAATGTATGTGGAAATACAAAAGAGCAGTAATAGCACAACAATTTTGAAAAGGAATAAAATTGGACATCATCTTCCACCAAGATTTTGTTTGGAAGGAACAAATGTAATGGGCAGTGTGATATTTGCATAAGGATAGGAGGTAGAAAAAATAAACAGAAAGGAGATCCCTCT